CCCCGAATATAAGCCCCCCCCCCGTCTATAAGCCCATCAAATTACTAACGTTCACACCATTCCGTATATAAGCCCCCCCCCGAATATAAGCCCACCCCTACATAAGCCCACCCGTATATAAGCCCATCACACTATAATACCGGTAAATTACACAAAAAAATCCACTACATTGCATTAAATTTCAACTAAGACTACGTCGACGGTATGTATCTAACGACGGTATGTATGTAAAGGTTACTGATGCCTCTTCTGAATCTGATTCTTCAAGTACTGTCAGTAATACAGACGGCTAAGACTGTTAACATACCTGGTATCGGCTATGAGGACTTTTATAAGACATGGATGGCCCACAAAAACCGCGTTCATACAGAAACTATACTATAATCGCGTCTCGTTGATGACAGTCAGTGTTCTATTATTTTTTGTTTAAAATTGCTAAAATTTAACAATAAACAGCGTGTTTTCTTACTATTAACCTAAGATGTGGTCCGTGTATAAGCCCCCCCCGTATATAAGCCCCCCCCCCATGTATAAGCCCATCAAAAAAGGCTTATGAAATTATATACTGTAAGCCCAGGGCTTATATTCGGAAGTTTACGGTATTCTTTACTGAGTTTCCCACTCATTGGTCAGCGGATTTCCCAACAGGCTATTGCCCAGTTGATAGGGGATCCGACGTACCTATACGATTTTAACGTCCTTATATATCCGAGACGATGCGAAAGTCTAACCATTTACTGATGTCAACGTAAAGGTGGCACTTTTCCTCAATTATTTTAAGACCTTGAATGGAGGGTCGACAAAGGAATTGAACCGTGCCGGTTTCCCAGCTTCAAATCGTGGTAACCACCATATCGTAAGTGCTGGTTATAATTACCATCTGCAAATATATATAATAAATACCACATCTGTCATCTGTTCTCTACTTCAAGCACGAGTATTATGTAAATATCGACATTTTTCGGTATCTCGTTCCGTAGATCGAACTATTATTAAACAGTTGAGGGTTTTTTGTGGATGGAAATTTTCTAGCGAAAGGTGGCGGAACGGCTGCGAAAAGTACAACTATATATGCCAAACACGGAAATTTAAAGTGAAAGTTTTTTAAAGTGAAATTTTAACACGGAAAGTTGTTATTTTATAAAACAATTACTTTATGTTTTCCGATGGCCTGATCCAAACACTTGGGAATGTTGCTCGAGTTAAAGGGAAGAAAAGCCGACAACTTAAATTAAGTGAAGCCGACAACTTAAATTAAGTGGCAGGTTGTAGTTTACATTTGTGATCAGGCTTTAATGAACTGGTATACTATACGTGCTTAATGAACGGCTTCAAAATAACGTCCTTATTGTTTTTATTTTATAGTACTAATTTTATACAAAGACTGAGTGTTCGATCAATACCATCAAATATTATTCATTTGAGTGAGATGCCACAAAAATCTTGATATTTATACGCATAACCTATACATGGCGTCATGAACTTGTGGTTAGAGCTCGACAATTAACTGGCCTCAGTTGGTTAGAGCGCTGCACCGGAATCCCAGGGTCGCAGGTTTAATTCCTGGCAGGAACCTAAAGTTGCATTTTTCGCTTCTGTTCCTGGTTAGACCTAATTAATGTATATAAATTTCCACTCGACAATTTCCATTACATACCCATCAATATACAATTACTTTATGGTTTCCGTGTTTGGATGGCCTGATCCAAACACGCGGGAATGTTGCGAGAGTTAAGAAAAGCGCGCGAAACACGAGCCGAAGGCGAGTGATTTTGCGCGCTTTTCTTAAAAAGACCTCTTTTCCTGAAATGGATAGGTCTTAAAATTGGATTTTTAGGTTATTTTTCAAGTATTATGTTTTGAAGTGCGCACTCACGGCAAATGCATTTTTGTTGAAAAGGGGATACACAATGTCTAAAATATTGAAGTACCTCTTTATTAATTAAAAGGACCGCTATATATGCCGAAAAGCTATTCTCGAATACTTCAACGTCGTTTTATTTCAAGTGTTCGTTTGCTACCACGCGTAGCAAAAATACTCACGCATTAACTCATGAAAATTTCAACCAGCTTAAAGTTGATGAGTGGATGAGAGATGGCGATAAAACCGGCTAGCGCAATTTTCATCCTTGTCTAGTGACCAGGCTTTAAGTTTGAAGGCTTTGCATGTAGTTTTTCGGAATGAACTTTGCACCAGCAACACGCAGGAGGAATGTTTGGAACCTCGCTACATTTGCACCCCAATATTTATACGGAAGTGTCCGCCATTACAGAACACAATGCTCATCCGCATTATTCATCTGACTTATCAAGGGATTTGTTAATCAAAGAAGAAGCAGAGCGATTCCATTAGTAAAAAAGTTTAAACTAATATGATTTTATAATAACTTGGGCTGATCAGTTTACCAAAACAGAATTTATTTAGGTTGTAAAAATGTAATCTATTCGCTATGTATGCTGTAAGCTATATTAAATGGCAAATATACGCGTTACCTTAAGGCTGATTTACACTACTAAAACTGTCGCACGCATCAACCTGCTTACAACTTGAGTTGCACTGTGTACAATTAATTCAAAAGAGGTTGTCCTTCAAAAATCATAAACCTTAAACAATGAGCGCGCAAGGGATGATGGGTAACTTCCTTTTAAAATCCTAAACTCGGCAAATCTGCTTTGCAACCATCTGACTAGGGCATATAATGAACACTTTCGATGTAGGGCTATTTTGGTTCACTACGCTAATGCCCGATCTAAGGCTCGAAATAATACCTATCATACCTTGCGCGCTCAATTAATGTTTAAGATTTGAGACTTTTTGAAGGACAACCTTTTTTGGATTAACTGTAAATCAAGCACACAACTCACCTACGGTAAGTTGCATGCAACAGTTTCAGGCAAAAGTTGGGTAGTGTAAATCGCCCTTTAATTAATGATAAATTAACAAATTTTTAATTGATCGATTAAATGGTGACGCCAGGACTCTGCAAAGGCAATTAAGATCGTCTTCTTGCCTAAAATTGCGTCGACAAAGTTTCACGGTAGAAAGTCAGAAAAAATTCCTCGGGTTTATCAAGAATATGTCTCACACGGGCAGCCAAAGTCTTGAGAACGTGTGGTGGTATCTCAGCAAACAGCTGGATGCTTGGCGCGAAAAAATGCGCACAACTATCTTGCGACAAACTCTTTTGCAGCGCTGAGAGCAAGTCCAAAAATCTCGAACTGAGATTCATGTCGTGCCACAGAGTTGGGCTTGAAATCATGGAATTGAGATGAAGTGTGACGATTTCCAAGTGATACGGCGTCAGTCCTTCTGGGTAGGAAAGAGTATCCTCTAATAGCGTCTTGGCAATTTGTAAACATTTATTCCGACATCCAATGTTTGCTTTGTTGAGTAACATTTTTTCGCCCACCAAGAAATCTATTCGCCATAATATAGAGGAGTGCTGTAGACTCGCTTTCACAGGCTGGCATGTTAAATGAATGCCTTCGTCGACTATCTTCTGCCGTATGCTATCTTCTGGCCATCTGAACAACACCTTCTTCCACATTGAGGCACAATTTGGCCATACTGTTTTGAGGAATATTGTCGGGATTAAGTGTACAAACAGTTGCTCTCCTTCGTAGGAAACATTCAACACCAAACCATCTTTGTCATTATTTGTACAATGAAACCAAATTTTAGAGTCTAAAATTCCCTTTTCTTTGCTAAGATCTTGAAGGAAGCTGCACAAATACTCGCGGAGTCTCTCGGAGGACAAGAAAAAGCCCTGGTTGCTCCCGCCTTCCATCAAATCCAGCCAAGACTTCTGTAACTTAGCTGCTTTCGAGCTCACAAATGCAGTCCCGGTTGGAGAATCCATTTCGACAAAAGAAACTTTACTCGAGTCGAGCTTTTTGAAAATCAAGAATACTTCTAGGACATTTTGTTGACGGACACGAAAAAATCCATCGGGGGACATTGGTTCGAAGTTAAGTCGTTTCTCTCGTTTCTTGATCTCTTTAAGCAAAGGATTTACAACCTTCTCTACTTTTTGTAAAACTTTACTGTAGCGCTTAAGATGTGCCATAGCTCTGCTTTCGAGATAGTCGGCCAAACAAATGTCAAATTTTGATCCTGAGATGCCGTTCATCGTTGCTGGCGTATATTAGCTGGCTCGGTTATAATGCTTAATCTGCTTGTGTTGTTTTCGTATTGCGACAGACAAAAATACTTCACTCGAGTTGTGTATACATTGCACGACTAATATTGGCATTGTTGATTTCCCGAAAGATTAAATAAGGCAAACTTACTATTATTATGCTAATGAATATACGATTAGTTGCCAGGCAATTAGAGAACACGAGTAAAATATATGCATGCCACCTACGGTAAAGCAAAACATTAATCTTCCTATAAAAAACATAAGTGTTTTGCAAAAAATTCCGTTTTAAATTTATTTTGAAAAACATCTTACCAGCGTGATACCGCTGGTACGTACTGTTTGTCCGTTTTGATAGCGAAAATGCGAAAGTGCATTACAATTAAGAGTTTACAAACGGCGAAATAAGGTGAAATTTTTTTATCCATCTAAAATCATTAATCATTTCAGATCGAAAACCACTCATGGCAGTTGGGTCCTCATTATAGTCATTTGCATAAATATCATAACAATAAGTGACTGGATGGCATGGAGAACAGTAGAACTTTCAAAACAAGGAAAAGACAATGGTACATTCCGATCACTGTGGAAAACTGGTCATGGAAATAGCCTCCCGCAAAAAGTTGAAAATTAGTGTATAGTTTCTTAGTTTCAATTATATATAACTTTCCTATTTGGTAATTATATATAACTTTCCTATTTGGTAAGATGGCTTGAATTCATGTAAACAATAAGTGGGCCCGGAGGCACTAGAGGGCCAAGGAGGGAGAGCACCACCTCCCCCAATAATTTCTGAGAGCGTTTGATCAACGTCATACCCAAGGTCTTATCCCCGCGCGCACTCCCGCTACGAAAAGTGTCAGCATGGATAATAAAATACATGGATAGGAAACTAGCTGACGTGACCTAATGTGTTCAATGGGATGATGGCGTTGAAACCTAGTTGCAAACCAAATTCTCAAAAACGGCATGTTTAGCGATAATACAGCTAAACATTTTAGTCAAAGAGCAAATAAATATAACTAAGCCATTCTACGATGAAATCTCTAAGTATTTCCAGTCAATTTTAGCAAATATTT